GGACCAGACGATGCCCAGATACAGGCCAGTTTCCCAAAGATCTTTGAGAGTTTCCCATAGATCTTTGAGAGTTTCCCATAGATCTTTGAGAGTTTCCCATAGATCTTTGAGAGTTTCCCATAGATCTTTGAGAGTTTCCCATAGATCTTTGAGTTTCCCAGAGATCTTTGAGAGTTTCCCAGAGATCTTTGAGAGTTTCCCATAGATCTTTGAGAGTTTCCCATAGATCTTTGAGAGTTTCCCATAGATCTTTGAGAGTTTCCCATAGATCTTTGAGAGTTTCCCATAGATCTTTGAGAGTTTCCCATAGATCTTTGAGAGTTTCCCATAGATCTTTGAGAGTTTCCCATAGATCTTTGAGAGTTTCCCATAGATCTTTGAGAGTTTCCCATAGACCTTTGAGAGTTTCCCATAGATCTTTGAGAGTTTCCCATAGACCTTTGAGAGTTTCCCATAGATCTTTGAGAGTTTCCCATAGATCTTTGCGAGTTTCCCATAGATCTTTGAGAGTTTCCCATAGATCTTTGAGAGTTTCCCATAGATCTTTGAGAGTTTCCCATAGATCTTTGAGAGTTTCCCATAGATCTTTGAGAGTTTCCCATAGATCTTTGAGAGTTTCCCATAGATCTTTGCGAGTTCCAGGCGACTTCCGCTAATCTTCCAGCCCCCATGCCGTCACAAAGCGCCACTGAGCACAACCATTCATTTGAATAGGGCGCCATCTTGGGGCTTGCTTCAAACTCTTGAAGCCTCAATATTGAAAAGATAATTCCTCAACATGTTCGGTCCAATAAGTCTGGTTCTGTCTGTGGACTCATCGACACACAGGTGAAAGCTCAAATCAATGAATATTCTTGTGTCCCGCCTGTAAATTCATGGAACATCTCTAATGGCTGCCTGTACCTGACTTGTTGATCCAATTAATGAACCAGTGGGAGTGTTTTTGTTTGAAAGTCATGACACTGTGCGGTTTTTTTATCCACAAAAACATACCATTTCTCTATTGAAGCTCTTTCATTGGTGACCTACAGCCTCTTATCAAGGTTCATTGCAACCTTTTCACCACTGTACACATCATTCCTGCTATTTATTCGTGAAGTCCTTTTAGTAAATTGCGGCGTTTCAGCTTTCAATGCATGTATACGTTCATGTTTGTCCTTGCCGCCACATTTTTGAAACTGTTTTTTTGTTTTCTGAGCCAATGCTCCGGTTATTGTTTATTCTATGCAAAGTTTTTTTTTTTTTTTACTTCAAAGTGCCATGGCTCGTTTTTCCCCTTTGATCTGCTCAACTGGTAGATCCGCCTTCTCCCGCTCCCCACCATCAAATAACATCACATGGCATTTATTTGACAACCCTTTGACCAGAGTGGGCCTAGTGTCTCTGCTATAGCTCACTTAATCTCACTTTTACATTTTCACCTTCCTCTCACATCCGCCGCTGGAAATGAGTCCTCTTGTGGATTTCCTTCAGTGTGATGGCTACCCGGCGCTTCGCAGAATTAATTTATTTTATATTTTTCATTTTTTTTCACGCCGCCGCATCTGTTTTCATAGTATTCATAATAAATGCATGAGAGAAACATGGCTCACCTCAAACCCCTTTGGCTCTTTCTTTGCCGACTTTTGGAAAAAATATATATATTTACTTGCCCACAAACAAAATCTTTGGGTGGAAAACATCTGAGCATTTCAGTTGTACAAGTTGGGCGGCACGGTGGCTGAGTGGATAGCACTCTCGCCTCTCAGCAAGAAGGTCCTGGGTTCGAATCCCGGTCGGACCAGGGCCTTTCTGAGTGGAGTTTGCATGTTCTCCCCGTGTCTGCGTAGGTTTCCTCCGGGTACTCCGGTTTCCCCTACCACTAAAAATATGTCCAATAGTTCTGGCATGTGCTTCCTGTACTGGCCCCTCCCATCTCTGTGTGGAGTGAGAGACAAATGCCCAAAAAATTAACAATTGTAAACCGCTTTGAGACTCAGATCTGCAGTGAAAAGGCGGTATATAAATAAAAACTTACTTACTTACTTACTACTTACAAGATGAATGTCAATAAGGATGAAATCAGAAGAAATGGCTAAATATGAAGTCTTTTTAAAAATAGCTTTTGTAATTTTCCTGCGGAGGCTTTAGCATTTTGAGACTCTAAAGTAAAGTAAACATTGTTTTTGTTTAAGCAATCAGCATATCCTTTTATTCTAGCTATTTGTCAGGGAAATAGAACTGCTTTAGACTTCCATGGTTTTAATCTGTCCATATGTTGTACTTATTGGACTGACACTGCTTTTCCAAAAAATATATAAGAAATAATGTTTGTTATTGTTCATTGCTGAAAACTTACTGTGAAACATTTCAGGCAAAGTTAACACATGATTTCCTACAAAAGCACTTGTGAGAGTGTTTTTTTCCGCTGGTATCACGTTATTTCATGATAATTTCCTGTTCGTACACGATAAGGATCATGTTATTTCATGATATAAAACTATCATGGTTTTTCATGATACCAATTTATTATGAAATAACAAGATACTGTAGATGTAGAAGACGCCAGACCGTACTAGGAAAGTGGAAAGGCTCAGGCTTTGCACCTTTCTGCGACACGAGGGGTGTCAGAGGTATCTTGGGAGGCACGGTGGCTGAGTGGATAGCACTCTCGCCTCTCAGCAAGCAGATCCTGGGTTCGAATCTCGGCTGGACAAGGGCCTTTCTGAGTGGAGTTTGCATGTTCTCCCCGTGTCTGCGTAGGTTTCCTCCGGGTACTCCGGTTTCCCCTACCACTAAAAATATGTACAATAGGTCTGGCATGCGCCTCCTGTACTGGCCCCGCTCCCATCTCTGTGTGGAGTGAGAGACAAGTGCCCAAAAATAACAATTGTAAACCGCTTTGTGACTCTGGTCTGTGAAAGGCGGTATATAAATAAAACTTATTTATATACCGCAGGATGCAGGAAGATCGAGTAATCAATGTGAAGTTATGTGAAGTTATGAACTGCTATCACCATAATTACACATTATATATATATGAAATAAAAAGCACCATACAGTTAGTTTCAAGTTGTAACAGAGCTAACATGGACGGCTAAAGCTACTACTGTTCACGCAGTTTAGCGCTATATAATCAAATTATTCTGACCCTATTTGTGGTCATTATCTCTATAACAATGGTTTAATTTAAGGCCAGCAAAGACAGTTTATCCTTTAACTTGACCATCATAGGAAATACAAACTAGGCTGACAAGCTAACACGCCAGCCTCACGCTGCTAAATATGTAATTATGGTGATAGCAGTTCATAACTTCACATTGATTATTTACTCAGATACCTCTGACACCCCTCGCTGTCGCAGAAAGGTGGCATCTACAGCTTCTTCTCCTTCTGTATCTACAGTCTCTTTTTATTTCATAATAAATTGGCATCATGAAATCACATGATAGTTTTAAATCATAAAATAACCAGGTCTTGGACTCGATTAAAACAATTAATCTAATTATTTAGAGGCTTTGTAATTAATTAGTTGCATATGATTATTTGACCTGAGACCAGTGAGAAGTAATGTTTTTCACATGGATTTTTGGTATAACATTGAACAATGACTGAATTCATAAGCTTAAGCAACAGAAATATTGTTTATTTTTGTCAAGTCAAACAGACCAGTGCAATTTTTGCCATTAAGTGTAGCAATGCCATATTTAGAAACCAACCGACACGTTCACATCAGCGTATTTGTTCATCTTCACTGTGCCACGAACGTGCGGAAATCATAGCGAAGTAAGTGCAGCTGCAGCAGCGTGTGAGTGCAGTACGGCACCAAACACAAACTTTAGACACTGTGCACAGAGACAGCAGTGGGAACAGTGTTTCTCTGAGTCAGTTCTGTCATCGGGAGGTTCAGAGACAGGTTAGATTTGCGGAGAACAAGCCTGGAAGTAGCGCGGTGCTCCAGTACAATCGGTCCGTGTGAAACCCATCCAGTGAGAAACGTTCCGCGGTACAAAAAGTTACATGGCGATTAAAATGTGTGTCATTAGTTAATCTTAATTAACCCGTTAAAAAAAGAACATGATCCGTATCTTGTTATTTCATAATAAATTGGTATCATGAAATAACTTGATTGTTTAATATCATAAAATAACATAATCCGTATCTTGTACGAACCTGAAATTATCTTGAAATAACAAGATATTATCATGAAATAACATGATACCAGCGAAGAAGTAACACTCACAAGTGAATCCAACATGCTTCCGTAATTTCCTTTTTTTTTTTTTACTTGAGAAAAAAATGATGGCATGTACATTTCTCCTCTGTGAGATAAATAAAGCACATCTTATCTTATCTTATCACATTTAATTGACTGACAATATGAAAGTAATAACTTTGTTTCTTGGCCTTCTGTCACACTTTTTTACCCTTATGAACAAATGTACTAAAAACATGTAGTACACTTACTAAAAATACATGTACAGCCAGGCTCCTCGTTCCTCACTCCGTCTTAATGAAATTGGCATACTAAAAAGGGATTCCAATGTTGGGCAATACTCGAGTATGTGAAAGAATTTTGACTATTTATAAAGGAATTCAATATCCATCTGTTCTTATAGCACATTTCCAATCACACCTGCTGCTCATGAATGACAAATGATACAAGAGCATAAAAAAAAGACATGTCTAACAGCTTCGTTAAAAGCCAAATACAAATAAACTGAATCTTTAGGGTTAACCACAACAACAACAACTCCTAGTTCCAATATACTATAACCAGTCTATAACTAGTTTATTCTATTTATGGGGTAAGGGTAAGCAGGAAACCAAGGTACATTTAACATCAACAAGGTGTCTGGCCTCACTTGAACAGCTTTGTCTATTAGTCATGAGACATATGGAATCATTGGTTATAGTTGTTTGCCCAGCTTTAATTCAGGATGTGTTTGTATTTATCTGATTACAAAACATATAAAAAGTCACTTATGAAATGAAAAATCTCATCTGTTTTGTTCTCACAGGGGTCTTCTGGAGGTCCTGCAGCTGGACTTTGTTCCCAGTGAAGTAGCAGAGCGCATTGAAAGTCAGTCCATCTCGTGGCGTTTGGAGATTCCTGGAAATGTCAAAGACGTCGGCCTGATGCGCATGTACACTACACAAAGGGACTATGTAGGCCTCGCACCACTGGTCATGGTGAGAAAAACACAAAACCATATTTTCAGGTCAAGTATATATGAAAATACAGAAAATGCATCTATGGTTGAAAGGTCCGTGAAGTAGCTGTTCAATCGGCAGGCAGAACTTTGTGCTTTTCTATGGTGTCTTTTGCCTAAAAGCACGGGTAGATTTTTTTTTTCAAATGCATTAGTTGCATAGATACAGGAATAGAGTGTTATTGTGCAGTGTATTCATGCTATATATATATATATATATATATATATATAACGTTCTGTTATCTACTGTGGGGAAAGTACTGAAAGGGTTTTTGCACATTCATTATACTGTAATGCTTAACTGTTTAGTAAGAGGCCACTTTAGTTCACCAAACTAGTCCAGGGGCCGACATCACAGACTGAAAAACTGTCTTGACTGGCATCGGGCTGTATTGAGCTTTAAAATGATTTATAACAGAGCTGAAGTTGGCTGAATGACAAATGTTTACCATCTCACCAGCTACATTAGCATAATTAATGTCAGTGTGCAAATCAAGTCAACGACGTACTGGGCTTTATGCAGCCAGCGGAAGTTCAATTTGGTAGACGTCAGCCAAAGGTAACCCCTCCAGGCCGGTTCTCATCCCCAGCCTATCGCACGGCAAACGCCCCCTTCCAATCACCGGTCCAGCCAGGCAAGCCGCTTAAAAGCGGAGGAACTCCCATTCTCGGCCTTCTCGAAGCCTGCAACCACCGCCTCCCCTCCTCCTCCTCTTCACCCTGCCTTCATTCTGCCTTCAATCTGCTTCCCGCTGCCAAAATGCCGCCACCAGTGCCTAGGTCCCGGGGGATTGGCACGCTCCATCGCAGAGCCCCTCCAATCCGAAGGCCGCACCGGGGCCTAGGGCGCCAAAACTCCTCCCAATAAAATACTCAAAAGCTTCTTGTTTCTCGTCTCTCCAAATTGAAATAACAATGTCTATATTGGCTGAGCTGAAGTTGGATGGATGATACAGTGAACTTGTGTTTATGATCTCAAACACTTCTTAGGGTAAGCAAGGCAGAGGGCCACATAAAATGACACTGAGGGCCGCGTTTGGCCCCCGGGCCTGAGTTGGAACATGCCTGCTGATGTTATAATTGTAAAGACTGCAGATCTCTTTTGTCAGATAATTAAAGAACATATTTGACCTGCAAGTGCCAAGGACTAAAGGACAATACCAGGATTTTGCTCTAAAAAACTATATAATCATTATCATCAGTGCTATAAAGTCTAGTCTGTTGAATTTTCAAAGAATGTTATATCAACATTTTGCATAATATTTCTGTAGGATGAAAGAAACAGTGTACTTAACTTTGAAAACATAACAGTAAGAAAAACAAGAACTCTAAATGAATTACATACATTTTTGTAATGTTGATATGAAATAAGTCGTTTAATGAATTACAATAAAACAGGGAAAAGTAGGTGCGGCTTCAAGACCAATCAGAAAGAAAGGGGGAAGGAGCTTGGGTCGTTTTTGTTTTCAAATCATGTACCTCTCTTTTCTCTGACAAAGTCTAGACTATCACTAGTTCCATAAACTTCCATCGGACAAAAGAGCTGTCACTTTCTATATTCGCCAATGATTGTCATGAGGTATAGACTGACGCAGATCCAGTGGGATTTCCATGATCACATTCATTACAGTATTATTTTGACAACTACTGCAGGTGAAGTTGGAAACTGTGTTGATAATTACACATTTTCTGGAAGATTTCTCAATGGAACAAGCATAGAATGATTTATTTTACTCAAATTAAGGCTAACCAAAGCAGATTCTTACTTGGAAAGGGAAAAAATGACACTGTGCTTGAGGAAAATAAGTAAGTTATCTTTATCTATTGAGCACATCTCACAAACCAAGGTCTTACAATGTTTTGGAACAAAAGATTATTGTTCTATTCACTTTTTGGTGTTGACAATCAAAGTCACCTACCATCCCTATCTGTGCACTCACTCGTTACTTTCAGAACTACTGTACATGTTTAAGAGATACAGGGAAACCAGAGCACCTGGAGGAAACCTACGCAGACACAGGGAGAACATGCAAACTCCTCTCTTCAAGGCTCTGTCTGAAGGTGGTACCTTCTGGCTGTGAAACACAAGTGCTAACCATTGCTAACTGCTGGGCAAACTGTTTTAAAAGATCTTTAGTAACAAGGTAAAACGGTGGCTGAGTGGATAGCACTCTCGTCTCTCAGAAAGAAGGTCCTGGGTTCGAATCCCGGTCGGACCAGGGCCTTTCTGAGTGGAGTTTGCATGTTCTCCCCGTGTCTGCGTAGGTTTCCTCCGGGTACTCCGGTTTCCCCTACCACTAAAAATATGTCCAATAGTTCTAACATGTGCCTCCTGTACTGGCCCCGCTCCCATCTCTGTGTGGAGTGAGAGACAAATGCCCAAAATTAACAATTGTAAACCGCTTTGAGACTCAGATCTGCAGTGAAAAGGCGGTATATAAATAAAGATATACTTACTACTACTAAAAACTACATTTCCAGCATCTGCTTTTACTACTAATCCCTTTCAGAGCACTTTCATCTCAGGATACTTGCCCTCGGACTAGAACAGGATGGAAGTGCGTGTTTGTCTGTGGCTCCATAAAGTTGGTGTAAATACAGTTGTACATGACATGTCAGGACCCCGTGTCCGTGAGCAGTAAATCGAGCTCGTCAAGGCCACAGGATCCTCGTTCCTCACTCCGTCTTAATGAAATTGGCATCAGCCGCCGATGTGAGCGACACGTTTATGCGCCACACTTAATGATTCTCCCCCGAGATAAACAAGGTGACTTCATTATCATCTCATACATACAGCCACTTCAGCAGGAATTAAACAGTTTGTTTAATGGGCTCCTCACACTTTGGCAATTGTAATTCTATAAACATAAAGTAGTGCAATGAACATGAACAGGTCTTCAAATTAGCAGGTCAGGCCGTGGGGGTTTTTACAAAGTTAATTGGTTCTGTAAACTTTTGTCGCACAAGAATATTGCGCAATATGTGTAAATAGAGGCAAAAACAATTCCAAAAATCAAATTGAAGATATTGGTATAACAGTAAAAAGTGTTTAGCCCCAGGGGAATGTGAGTGGGGATACTCATGCTGTGTAAATGCTAGCGACGGGTGCACATAAATAAAACGTTTGGGACACACTACTCTAACCTACCGTCTTGAACTCAGTGGAGGGGATCAAAGCTAAATTAGAATCTGGGATGAGATTTAATGAGTTATTTGATGCTTTATTAGTCCTCACAATCCAAGCACATTGGGGAGAAAACATCCCTCTCCTGGGGCATTACATGTAACTGTTTGGTTACACTGGTTGAATTCTGATTTAAATGCATTGGCCCGTTTCCCTTCCTCATGGCAAACTGTTGCAAAGTCTTTGCTTATTCCAGGCAGAAACACACACCTGCTTCCACCTAAATGTACTGTACTAAAACTGCAGTAATGCAAAGTTCTGATTTGGGTTCATGTGATAAATTAAGTGGAGTTGTGGCCTTTTGGAAAGAAGCGCTCCACAAAGAACTGTTTTAATGAACTACGTCTGTTTGGGATATTTGGACATCTGGTGGTTATCTGAAGCGACAACAGAACAGTAGTTTGTTGTTTTTCCCTTGGGACAAAAAAGTTGTACTTCTTCTATTTTATCTAATCTTGTGTGTGGTGTGTGATCAAATGAGTGAATTTGAGAAAAAGTGCAACACAGCTTTAACTAAACTTGATCTTGAAGTGGGATTAGATGAAAACCGTCGGATTTCTCTGCAGGACACTTCTAGAGCAGCCAAGAGCAGATATTGCTTTCTGATTGTGCTTGGTCTGATCCAGTGGCTTATGTTTGGGTCAGTGTCGCAGGCCGAACTGGAGCATGTCCTTTCGGAATTGCGGTCAGCAGCTGTCAGACCAAAAGAGTTCAGAATCGGTGTGAGCCATGAAACAGCTGCACTGGGCTCTTGTAAAGTCCCTGCATCACAGTGTTGGATTAAACATGCCATCAGAGTGGGAGGAGCTGTAAACCGGACCAGAGCAAGAGTTCAATAAATCAGGCTGCTGGTCAAGCATTGGAGGGCTCTTATCTGTAAACTGAACACAGATATAGATGTAGTGTTTTGCGATGTGCCAAAAGGGGCGGGAGATTACAAATGTGATCATGATGGGACACTAAGTCAAAACGCTGACCCAGATATCTAATGGGATCGAGATGCAGGTGTTTGTTTGTATGAGACGCACACACCTGCGCCTCCCTACATCAAGCATCAGTTATTTTTGTACAGAGCCTTTTGAATACATACATCTGCTTTATTAGCCATACAAATCTTTGCACCTGGCTCCTATCCTTGCATTGTTGTACCAATAACTAAATATTTCAGTCAAAAAAGAACGGACTCAATTTTGTGTTTTTCATTCTGTTTGTATGAATACTCATAGAACCTCATGTACTGTAATTTGGATTTTGAATTTTGATTAACCTCGTGCTGATGTTATTTAATATACTAATTAAATCTTTCAAAAATCAAATAGCAATAATGAGAATAGTTAAGATCAAAAGGCTGCTTTTCACACTAACTATCTGCGCTGCAAAGTTATACACACTGTCTAGATGTCTTTTTGTGATCAATGTAACCATCAAATGAATATTTAAATATCCCTTTTACATGACTCAGATTTCTATTCAAAGCTGTGCCAAGGTTACAGTTAGAGCTTTATGCAATAGAGCCAGGTTTTGTATCCTGTTCATGTCAAGGTCTTTTGAGAAGTTACCACAAATGTTTCAATATTTCAACCTTTGATGTGAAGCATGTAATTAACATACAGTTTGCGACATGGAACGAAAGTAACCTAACTTTTGACTTCTTTTGAAAGCGGTATCTCAAGACCTTTCTCCTCAGCCCTTTTGCAGTTGTGAACATGACTTTGAATGCAGCCGAATAACCTCTACGTGCTCTGTTTTTTTTTTCCTGCAGAACGCTGACGTTTTAAACACCGCAGTGTTGACGGGTAAAAAGATGTCAGTCCCAGTGAAGACTCTGGTTGTGGAGGCCGACGGCTCTGTCACCGATGTCACCAACTCCACCAGCTGTGTGTCGACACAGGAGGAGGCGCTCAAGGTAAACCACAGCTTTTCAGAGGTGACCTGAGGATTAAATGTAAATCTTTGGGCCCAGGTTACTTCTCAGGTCAGGGACATAGACTGTGCATAGATTGACATTGCTAAACCTCCACCCAAGTGCTCACAGGTGAAGTTTTGTTCATACGCCTTCATTCACTTGCATTGAAAAGTGAGCACTTGTGTCTATAGACTGTAACGACCATCTAGCTCATTGAAACCAAACGGGAAGTGCTCATGGACAAAGTTTTGCTCCTTCTTCCTTCTGGCTCCTATTGACTGTCCAGTAGCCATTGAGCTTTACAAATCTGTGGTTTAGCAGATTTCTTCAATGTAAACAAAGGCTCGTATTGAATGATAACAAATGCCGTGATTAGTGGGGAAATGTAAGAGGCAACAAGAAGACAAACAATAAATGGATTAAAGCTGAAACAACGATAACAAGTGGAGCTAGGACCAAGATGGTGCCCCTCGGACATGAGAACACAAAACTGGGGCAGAGCTGGGGCAGAGCTGGGGCAGAGCTGGGACAGAGCTGGGGCAGAGCTGGGGCAGAGCTGGGGCAGAGCTGGGGCGGAGCTGGGGCAGAGCTGGGGCAGAGAGCTGGGGCAGAGCTGGGGCAGAGCTGGGGCAGAGCTGGGGCAGAGCTGGGGCAGAGCTGGGGTAGAGCTGGGGCAGAGCTGGGGTAGAGCTGGGGCAGAGCTGGGGCAGAGATGGGGCAGAGATGGGGCAGAGCTGGGGTAGAGCTGGGGCAGAGCTGGGGCAGAGCTGGGGCAGAGCTGGGGCAGAGCTGAGGCCAAAGCCGATGGGAATAGTAGTAAGTAAGAATAAAAGTTTATCTACAAGCTCAAATAAAATGTAAGTGATATATGTCAACTCTTCGTAATTTATTTGAGTATGCTTAACTCAATTTTCAAAATGAGATTTTATTCGGCATTTTATAAACTGCCGGCCAATTATCAACATTTTAACAAATAAAGGCTGTATCTGTTATGTATATGTGGACTTTAGAATCAATTGTAACCTGTAAAACACAATTGGATCAGTTTTAATTTACATTTTCTTTCTGTTATATCTTAAACACCAAAAAAAACCCTATTCTTTTTTTCTCCTTGTATGTTGAACAGAACTATACAAAAAGAAAATGTATCTTGGATTTTGTCCAAGAACATAAAGAAGCTGCTCGGCCTCTTATTTGTGAGTCTAAGTTCTGGCCTGGCTCAGCTTCCACGGTGTCACGGGAAAAAAACATTGTGAACAAAAACTATGTCTCAGTCGGCAGAGTTGTAGAACTTAGAGCCTTCTCGCAGTGCTCTGTTTTTCCGTAAGACAGGTGTAATTGTAGTAGTGGGACTCATGATTATAAATATGGAGGTGGAATATTCCCGCTACGAACAATTGTGGGTCCCAGCGCTGTAGAACAATGAGCTGGAAACTTCACATGTGTAATTCCATCCATCCATCCATTTTCTTCCCCTTAATCCATTTCTGGGTCGGGGGGGTGGCAGTCAGTCCACAGAGCACCAGCCCCTCACTGATCCTCCTGCAGGTGCTGAGTCCACAGAAGCTGAGATCTTTCAGTGGGGGCTTCAGGCAAAGTGGGGTTAAGTGTCTTGCCTAAGGACACATGTGTAATTATAATTAGAAATATTCTTGGTCAGAGAAGTTTGTTTAAAATGACCTTTCCCTCGACACAATAGAATCTTACATATCTCCATGTTCTTTTCTTCCCCTTTAGTTCCTATTGTCTTAGTGTTCCATAAATCACTACAAAGACAAAACGTTTTTCTTTGTAGAATTGTCTGTATATTCAAGTCCTGTACAGTTCCTTTTCATAAGGAGCTTAGATTTTTACAGCAAACTATCACTATCTTCTTTTATTCGGTCATTTAATACAATTATAGGTTTCTACAGATTTCAGAATGTAAGCTATTTTAACTGTAGTACTCATTATCAGGAGCTGAACTTAAATAGGGCTGTAATTACTCTGTAACTCGTCATCTTTATAGAGATGACGAGTTACACATTGGGTTGTTTGATTAAAAAGTCATAAAACTTCTCTGCATGTTTAGGTCTGTACGGTTCAATAGACGAATAATCAATTATCAAATCAGTTGACAACTATATGAATAATCTATTAGCTGTGATTAATCAATTAACTTGTTACAGCCTTACATTTAAACCCTAAATAGAATAGAATAGTCTAAATGTGCTCATGCTCAAACTCTAAGACGCACAGATTACACAAGTTGACAGCCAAAAAATGGTCCGGGGTTTCTCAACTGATTTAGACTAATGTTGGTCTTCTGAGTCTGAATATCACATGCATTTTGCTCTATCAGGTCAACTTTTTGAGATACAGCCATAGTGTTACGGATTATGTACGTCTACGTCAGGGGTCTCCAACCTGTAGCTCGGGAGCCACCAGTAGCTCGCCACCCCCTTCCAGGTAGCTCGCCAAAGGATTTAGAAATGAACACATCAAATAAAACACTTAATATTCCATAAATGCACTCACTTTGTCACTAGTAACAAATTTGCAATGATAAATAAGGACTGTTCCCAATAACAGGCTTATTCTCACCAATATATCACCAATTTTCTTTCCCCCAATTCCAGTTAAAGGAGTAGCTCTCTGTCTTTATCGTTCCAGGAAAGTAGCTCTCTGGGTGAAAAAGGTTGGAGACACCTGGTCTACGTTATTATGAATTCTGCTTATCAAATTTGATGGAGTAAATAAAAACTGAATGACTTTGGATACGTTGACTTTTATTTCTTGAGGAAAACGGGAAAAAACGTCAAGGGTTTCTCAGCTGATGATCCGCAGAAATCAGTTTTTACGCAAAATACAATTAAAAAAAATATTTCTGTAGCAAAAAATCCTGACCTGATTGAACAAAACCAAGGTCATTTTCGGACTCAGAGCATCAACATTAGTCTAATTCAGCTGGAAAACCCTGGACTATTTTCCAAAAATAATTTTTTGTTACCCAGTGTTATAGTTCTATTACAACCACGCAAAAGAACAGGATAAACAGACGTGGGAGGTTGGAATGTATTGCACATTATTATGATACTGTGCCAGAAAGTCCAGAAGGATAAATACACTCCTCACTAAGCACTTCCCATTGTAGTGAAATCGGCCCATATGGTGTTAGTGGCTGAGCTGCTGATCCCACTACTATATACAAAAGCATTGACCCCTGGGTAATGGATCCGTGTCAGTGGGGCAGTAGAGGAAATGAGTTACAGAGCACACAGAGGAGAAAAAACAATCACGATATCTGCTTTTAGGCTGCACTAATCAGATTGCAGATTTAAGTTCCCAGTACAATACCATTTTAGCTGTAGCGATAGTCACTTGTATTAATATTGTTTTTCCCTGATGTAGACAATATAGACAATCTCGACTCCAAATCTCTCTCCCACCTGCAAGTGGTTCAGAACGCAGCAGCCAGACTTCTGACTGGTTTTAACAGAGGGGAGCACATTACCCCTGTTTGAGCATTCCTCAGCTGGCTCCCACTGTGTTTTAGAATCAATTTGAAGACTTTACTGACTACTTTTAAAGCTCATTTAGGTCTGGCACTGCTATATTTATGAGCTTTTAACCCCCATACCCTTAGATCCTAGATTGGGCAGGTCCCTGTTGACTTTTCCAAGGCTGAGGCTCAGATGAAGGGGGACCGAGTCTGGGCTCCTTGGCTTTGGGAGGACTTGCCCGAGGAGAAAAGGCACCATCAAAATCCTCATCTAAATCACCTCTTAAAACCCACTTCAATCAAATGGCCTTCTGTCTGTTTTTAAAGTCTGCATGTATTTAACTTTTCCACATGTTTGTTGTTGTCTGTCTGCTTTAATATCCTGCATTATTATTTGATATGTTATATTATCAAAAACTGTTTTTTATTGTTTTATGCTGACTGTACATGGCTTTGTAAACATATTTACTCAGGTCTATTCATTATACAGCTCTCCAGTCAATATGATCCAGCCCATGCTTCTTTTCCAATTATAAAAGATACATTGATTATCTTTTAATTACTGGTTTATTTAGTCTTGTTTTCATGCCTGGGTGGTTTTAAGTCTGGGTCATTTGTGGTTTAAATCTGGTTGGTTAGTCACTAGTCCGTATCCCATCCAGCAAAAACCCCCAAGATAATATACATTTAAAGCTGTAGTACCTTACTTTTAAACCATGAATTAAAATAAAATCCATATAGTTCCCAGCTCTCAAAAATGTTTGGTTTTATATAGTTTTCACATGCATGCATTTTTTGCCTCTGTCACATCTTCAGAAACAAAGATAAGCACTTCGCACTACCCACTAAGCAAGCCGACGTTGAATCAACGTAATTTGAACGTCATTGTCCGACGTAGAATATAGGTCACTGGTGGGTGCAGAATGAAAGTTTTCTCGACGTCGTTTCTCGACGTCACCTCAACCTCCAAATGTTACGTTGATGGCACGTCAATTCAAGGTTTGAATGTGGTACGGAACCGGTCGGGTCTGACGTCCTATCAACGTCTCATTTGACCAAAATATTCACGTTTATATGACGTTCGTTTTCAGTCGTTCCCACTAAGCAAGCAGATGTCAAAACTATGTCATTTCAACGTCATCTGGACGTTCATTCAAGGTTGCAATGTGGTACAGAACCGGTCGGGTCCGACGTCCTATCAACGTCTTATATGACCAAAATATTGCCTTCATATGACGTTCGTTTTCCGTTGTTCCCACTAAGCAAGCAGATGTCAATACAACGTAATTTCAACGTCATCTGGACGTTCATTCAAGGTTGCAATGTGGTACAGAACCGGTCGGGTCCGACGTCCTCTCGACGTCTTACATGACCAAAATATTGACGTTTATATGACGTCCATTTACAGTCCTATTGACCTACTTAACCTCTGCAGAATCACTCACTGGTCGAGACATACTTTTTGCAATAGGCAAGGCAAGTTTATTTGTACAGCACAGTCAAAACAAAAGGAAACTCAAAGCACTGAACAAAAGATAGAAACAATCAAACAAGGCATTACAATTATAAATATTGACAGTAAATTAAAAAGATACAAATAAAATCTCTCATAAAATCTCTCAGTTGAAGCAGAAACAGAAGTGTTTTAAACCTGGATTTTAACATTGTCAAAGAAGAAGCCTGTCTCACATTTCCAGGAAGACCGTTCCAGATTTTAGCCTTGTGAATCTGAAATGCAGCTTTATCATGTTTAGTTCTGACTCTGGGCAATAAACGATAAACACAGCATTCAAAAATCATTAGAACAACTGTAGTAGAAGGATATCAGTCATTATTGCAAATGGAGCTGCATTAAAAATCATGTTTCTCTACATCAAAGTACAAGTTAAATCACACAGGGCACAGTGTTATGAACACTACTGTACTGAACAGTTCATGCCAAAGTAAAAAAACATGATTGTAGCGCCTATGTTTGGATCAGTATTAAAACAGGCACAAGCTACACTCTAGGTTCCCCAGATGTAAAAACACAATCTGAAAGGCAGAAGAATGCATTTATTGAATGTTGAGGTTCCAACATGTGTCCTCTCTTGGTCTTCAGTCTCATAAGGTCCAAGCACAGCACCTGAAAATGTGGAACATGTTTAGTTTCAACATAATGTGGCAAAGTGATATAACAACACATAACTTTCTATTAATGCCTCAAACCACTCGATCCATCACCATGTGATACAAACCTTGGCACTGCACTAGCTCGAGACACTGGAAGACACTCCGTCTGAGAAACTTGGGATAAGGCTTTGGTCATTGGAGTAATTCCATGTAAAAAACAATTGCAAATGTGCATTTATTTTGCACATGGACAAATGAGCCCTGAAAGCTACTTACCCTGTATTACTCTACACATGTTGCATTTCCGAGGGGGCATTTTCCCCTTGTTGCTCTTTTCCCTCATCTTGAGTGAGTTGCTGAACAATCTGAGAAAAAGATAGATGTTTTCAAAGAGAATACACCAAATAATGGTTTATTCTAAAAACAACATAATAATACAGAAGAACAATCAATGTGTGAGAGTGTGATTCTTACCTTTGAACACCTTCAACACAGTCTGACACCTGTAAGACTGAAACACACATGACACATTAGGAATACACACAGAACATTAGTTATTGCAACAATCATGAAATTATACTCTATGGATTTCACAATAATTGACTGCATTAGCAAAGGTAAATGTATTTTAATTAACATATGGCTGGTTTTAAAGTTTATAAGAAAAAGTAAGAAATTTAATAGAGTTGCAAGCGCTAGTTAGCTTGCTACCAGCAGATGAATGGATATTTAATATTTGCAGCTAACAATAACAAAAATAACAACTGTAGTGGCTCATTTAAACAGCCACAGTGAGAAGAAGTGAAAGTCTCTGACATTGAAGATTTAATGGGAAGACATTAAATCCATTTATTAAACAAAGCAATACATGAACATTAAACTCTCTTTCTGCAGCAGGTAACATCTGTGTGCTCCTATGGTCCCACATGGTCCCACATGGTCCCACACCTGAACTCAACTCCAACTGATGACATCACAGGTGTCTAAATGATGGGAGTGTCCCAAATATTAAAGCTGATCTCCCTGTTTTTAAACTTAGTTTACTAAGTACTGTTGTCTTTTTGCAGTTTATAAACCATTGTGAAATATACAGTAACTTTACATTTTAGAATTGAATTATTATTTTAAAACTCAAGAATCTTAACCTTTTTTAACACATAGTTTGTTGGACAGTCTAACCTAAGAATTCTAATGTGTTAAAAATAGTTTGAAATATGAAAAACAATATCATATTTTAAACTTTAACTTAAAAACAAAAAAAGGTGTCTCCCTTTCAGCTGAGCAGTGCCAGCCGTTATTATTATAGATTCATGCACTGGCAATTCAAAATACAGATAATATACAAAATATACTTAACAAAATCCACGTATACGTGAGAAAACAACTTACTTTCTGTCTCCAACTCTTTTCAATGTTGAAATGATACATCTATATCTAAAAACTGTGCAGACTGTGTACTTACAAGAGAGGGTGATTCCAAGTAAATAAAGCAGGGCAGCGACAGAGGTACAGATTCAACGTCATATCAACGTCTGGGAAGACATTGCTTTACGTCCAGATGCACACCTTACGTCGTTTAGACGTGGAAAACAGGTCCTCGACCGAGCGACTCACGTGTCAGGCTGTAAAGCCTAAGTTATACTCGCGCGGCGCATAAGTGTGCGTCGGTTGTTTAGGGTGTTATCTATTATTTTTTCACAGTAGTCAGAGAAATGCCTGGCTGTGGTGTAGCGGTTGCGTAATGAGACTTCAGTCCCAACGACGCGGGTTCATATCCCCGTCGGAAAACTTTTGACTTTTCACTTTTTAGCGAACAATTTCTCTGTTTGGTTAAAAACGAATAAACACTCAACATAAGATTATGTAGTGGCTAATAATAAAACTTGTGAACCCATGCATTTGCATAAAATCTAAAGTGCTCACCCCTTATTTGCAAACTTGAGATTGTTAGCACAACAAATGCATACATTCACAAGTTTTATTATTAGCCACTACGTAATCCTATGTTGAGTGTTTATTAGTCTTTAACTAAACAAAAAAAAATTGTTCGTTAAAAATCAAAACAAATATGTAAAGATAATAATACACACATGTGGGCTCGAACTCACGTAACCAAGGCTGCACGCATTTGCTTAACCACTACACTACCGTCAGGTACTCTGAGACTGCTTCACAGCCTATATATTGTATTGCTAGATCAAGACGTACTGCGTCGGTCGGCCGATGACCTGTTTTCGACGTCTAAGGGAGGTTGGGATTGAACGTCATATCCACGTATATGGGAGGTCATTGTCTTACGTCCAGATGCGCACCTTGCACAGACGTCGTTTGGACGTAAATAAAAGGTCACGACCGACCGACGCGATATTGACGTGATCTGGAGGTTGAGTGGACGTCGGATGTTTAGTGGGTAAGGTTTATATATAAAAGATAAAATTAGATGGTGTGATCTGATTTGTTCATAAAATGTTACTTAAACAAGACTTTAACTGTTGGGATGAACACAATCTATTCACAGAACATTGATTACATAGTTTATAAAGTACTTTTTATATGATTCTTTGGAAGTATTTCTCTAAAGCAATAAAGCAATCTTGTGGAAATTGTTACAGACCTTCAAACCGTCAAGACAGGAACTTTGAACAACCCAAAAATGAAGAAGGTGTTCCTCAATGTTTTGACCAAGTCTGTCCAGCAGTGCTTTTTGCCCACTCGCCTGAGAGCGTCGGTCACAGGAGGGTGTCTGCTGGGATAAGAGCTGTGATCATTCAGAGGTGCCAGGGGTGGAGAGCACTTCCACAAAGCTTCACCTCCGCACGCTTTGGAACACAGCTCAGCCTCATGCCTCCCTCTCTCCAGAGCACTCCATTCTCCAGTCTAGTGCTCTCCAATTACCTCTGTGGAGCCACTGGTTTGTTAAGATAAGTGAGGCAGCAAAGGAGATAGGCCTCCAATCTGAAATAAAACACACCAACTGCCTTGTCTCACGTCATTGCTCTCCCGGGCCTGGGCTGGAACGGCCCCACCTACAGCAGTCGGCCTCATTGATATTCAGCCACATCCAAACGAGCTCTGAAGTTTCACTATAAACATGAACTGACATATTGACATTTAACATCGGAAGAAACACTAACTCTATAGTAGTAGTGTTCTCCTTCTCAGTTAAAGCTGGTGTATCTGACTTTCCAACCACAAAAAACTGAAGCTCACTCCCTTGAAATAAAACGGTTCTTGAAAAAAGACTAAATGGCCTTGTCCTTTTGGCAAACGCTCAAGTTAAGCAATTATTATCTCATATTTTTGCATTTTTAGTTCAATTCCAGCAAGAGGTTTGCATTCTATGCCTTTTTTGGATCCTTACTGCAGAGATAAGCCAGGATAAAAGCCAGTGTAAAAATAAAATCGAATCAAATAAAAGGAATCCATGCTAATCATAGCAGTGCATCATGAGACTCATGCAGGCTCATAACAGGGAACATCTATTCTTGGACAACTTGCGTCGAGGTTACGAAGATGCAGAGAAGTGCACTTGTTGTAAATTGAAAGAAAGGCTTCACAAGGCCCTTTCTTACAAATGCTAAACGATAACATTTATTTCAATAAGAACAAGATAGCATCTTGTGGTCTGATTTGTTTGTTTGAAAAAAAAAAAATGGCTCAGTTGCATTGCTCTCATAGTTTCCCACTCTTTGTCCAAATCCCCCAAAAACACATAAAGTCCCTGGACTGATTTGCCTCCTGCTGTTGCTTCTTTGTAGGTCTCGCCGCGCTGTGACTTTGTCTATGTGGATGGAAAGGAGACGGTGGGGAGGAGCTCTGTAATGGTCAACTTCACTTATGGTTTCCTGAGTGCACAGCTGGAGATGAGAGTGTGGATGCCCCGCTTCCCCATGACCGTCCACATCGCAGACACAGAGCTGAGTCAGATCAAGGGCTGGAGAGTTCCCATCACCACAGGCAGCAGGAGGTAAGGCCCAGCCGCAGCCTGCACTGTCTTTTGCCCGACTCCAATTATGTGGACTTCACATGGACTGTAAGATTTGAGTGAAACTTCTAAATGTGAAAAAGTTTGGAATTGTCCTTGTTAAAGCTGGGGAACCTAACTTTTTTGCATAAATAATACATAATAATGTGTTTGGACTGACTCGATTTGTGAAATGCTGTTAGCAAATCCAACCAGAACATGAAGCTTTTATCTTTTGTATATTAGAAAGTGTCCTGCGAGTCGGGCTTTGACGCTTTTGACTGAATCTTTTTGTAGTTAGATGGATATATTGCATGGATACAGTTATTGTTTTAACATCTATTTGACATTTTATCTGAATGTGATTTAAAAGAGTTTATTCACCACAGTAGAACATGATACAAAATTCATTGACTTTATTTTAAAAAAAAACAGAGGCCTTTTCATTTTGACATTTCACCTTTATTCCGAGGCATTCCTAATCAACGCGACTCAAACCTAATATGCAATTTTGGAAAGGGAACATTGCTGTAACATGGCCAAAAATCTCATTATAGCCAACTTCACAAATCCTTCATTTCCAATACCAATGTTGCAATATTTTTGGGGTTTACAGAGCGGCCTGTATAATTTCTCCCCTTTTTGCAGTTGTTTCATTGTGCAAGCCTGTCAAACCGTGAATGCAGCCAATTGTAAATGTATTTTGTGAATGACCAGAAAAGGCCACAGCAGGAACAGCCCTGCTTTCCTGCAGACAAAGGTTGACTGGGCTCGCTCAATACGTACAGTCAAGTCATTACTTTTCACTCAATATCAACAGCCGCTGGTTTTCTCTCGGGTAAAAAAAAAAATGTCACTGGGCTTTTCATTTCCCATAACACCCAATAGTGTGACCCAGACATCACCAGGCAGTATAGCCGGCCAGAGAGGTTTAACAACACACAAAAATGGTACTATCATGGGTGTATGATGTCTACAGTCAGTCAGTGATTGTGTTTTAGTTGTTCAAACCACTTAACTGAACCCTTTCAGAGTTTAATGAGGGCTAACATTAACATTTTTTTTCTCAGTTATTTGCATAATAATAATGATATATTTGCCATAAGGAAAAGTTCCATTTGAAGTATCTTTGACTGTCTTCCAAAGCATTGTTATAATTGTTAGTATTATTATTTATATATTCTGAATCTCCTGGGAGCTCCACAGCCTACAGGAAGATTGCCCATTTTTACAACAATACTTACAGATCAGACACTAGAATTATTATTATTATATGTTTAAGATAAATTCATGCGTTTGTCAAAGGGGGGGCGTGTTTTTAATTATTAGAGCTGAACAAAAGGTCAATGCATTAATTATTCTTGCAAGGAATTTAATTGGAAAGGTATTTTGTGAATTATGCCTAGATGTTATTGTTTTCACAAATACTTTGAACTAAACAGTGTTAATTTTCTCGTTTCATTCACACACTTACACAGGGGTATTTTTATCCCTGGTTTGCCTGTGTGGATCTACAGTAAAATGTACCTTTGGTTTTGTAGCTGGATTGATACATACATTGGTTTAATATAGTCTTCAATGTTATAATCTCCTGTATGGCCAGAATTTTTCCTCAAGTTAAAAAAGCAAATTTTAAAAACTCTGGTGCCGCTCTCTCTCGTCACCTTCTCTGATTTGTCCTCCTTTTGCACTTTCTGCATAAATCCATGTTTCGACTCCTCTCAACATTCCATGTATTTAACGCATTCATTCACGCTCTTGACATCTTCATCTAACTTTGAAATCAATAATTTTGTCTCGCCAAATATGCTTAGGGCGCTGCAGCATAGTTGTTAAAACAAAAAGACTGGAGCAAGCTTATATAGTTCGATGAATACAAAACATCAAAATCTAATTTGTAGATTTGTATGTTTTTGAATTAATCTAACTATATAAGCTTGCATTATAAATACATTTCCGAATATTACTTCTTCAAAACATGTTTACATGCTTTTTAAACTGCTCCTGACAGCACCCCTAGTGGCATTACAGGATAAGTCTAATGCACAGGAAGTTCTTTAAGTGTACATTTACTTATTTATATTTTTATTTCATTACCATTATTTGTTTTTAGATGACTATTTTTGCAGTGTAGTAAAGAGATATACTGTATTTTAAACGTTTGGTCCAGTAAAGGCTCGTAACCCTGAAAATAATCCCATGACCCACTCATAAATCCACATGCTTGGTTGGTTTTCCTCAGGTCAAACTGGGACAGCGAGGAAGAGGAGGAGATGAGGAAGGGCAGAGGGTGTATGCTGCAGTATCAGCTCTCTCCCATCCGTGTGCTCACTTCATTCACGGCCCAGTCAGACACAGAGACCCCCCCAGCACCCCTCACTCAAGAGCAGCCTGCAGAGTACTTCATGGGACCAGACTGGCAGGTAATATGAGAGATTTCACTGTTTCACTGTGAGATGAAATTATTGATGTGAACTTGAAAATCCTTCAATCACTTCCATTCCCTTTTGAAAGCTTTGTAAATAGTAATTTTGTCTTGAAATGGACTTTCTGTTTGACAAAGTACAGGTTTCAATGGATGCTATAATTATGGTTTTTCAAATGATCCATATATTTTCAATGTTCAAATCCATGTCCTAACAGAAAGTCTTGCTAAAGTAAAATGTTTTAAATAAATCACAAGTAAATCATCTCAACAGTTTGAAGAAGATGACAGTCTGGGATCGCGTCTTTCATTCAGACAGAAGACATGTTTTATTGTCGATGGTAGAGACAGCACGAACAACACAAACAACAGAATGCGTGTGTATTATACAGAGCGGAGGCATGGAGACCTCCAATCAGCAGCTGCCACAGTGCCATGTAGCTTGGCCTTCAGATAGACAAAACAAGAGAAAAGTACTGGCTTCTGCACATTGATAGAATGATGAGTTTAACTTTAACAAAAGTTGCTTAAAAGTGTTATGAAATCTCACAAGTTACTTTTGCACACTGATTTAGACCAGTGGTGTCTTTCACTTTTCCCCCCAAAAATGAATCATAGAAGCTTGCTGTTAGATGTGACAGAGCTAATAATTAGCTGTTTTTATGACATAGTTACTAGTAGATATTGGTGCTTTAGACCCAGGCTTTAAGTTTTAAATATTGCACTAGGTCCTATAATCATGCCTTTAGTGCCTTTCACTTGTCATGTGTACGGTCTAGCTTCACTTACTAACAACAAACAACTGGATAACAGCAGACAGTGGGCGACAGTGGCTCAGTTGGTAGAGCCTTTGGGCCTGAAGGTTGTGGGTTTGAGCCCACCACAAGACCTACTTCACAACTGACTGCTGTTGTTGTGTCCTTGGGCAAGGCACAACCCCACTTTGCTTAAAGCCCCCGCTGGAAGATCAAGGTTCCTGTGGACTCACCACCTGCTGGAGGATCAGTGAGGGGCTGGTGCAATGTGGACAAAGTACAGCTCTGACTGCCACCCACCTGACCCAGAAATGGATTAAGGGGAAGAAAATGGATGAAAAACAGCAGAGAAAACAATCACTTTTATTTGTGTGTGTTCCAGGTGGACGTGACCAGTCTTGTACGCAGTTGTGTGAAAGTCGCAGATCCTGAAGTCGCCAAAGTGTCTGATGGTGTAATCCTGCAGGGCCGCGCTGTGGGCACCACCACTGTGATGGTCAGTGCCAAATCCACAACTGCAGTTTTACAAAGTGGTTACGATCGTATAGCCTGACTCTAGCCAGACCCTTGTAGTTCGCTGAGCTTCACACAAAGGTCTGGGTCTGCTTCATAGCGGATGAATTTCAGAAGGCGGGGCCTTGTAAAAAAATCCTTGTATGTGATTGGATAAACCACTTGTCTGTTATCTTGAATGACGTGTTCTTTCAACCACTCACATCGAAGCACACAATTCAGCACACGCCTCCCATGGGCCAGCAAGATTTTCCAGCCCTAAACCCGCAAGAATGCCCAAAAAAAAACACCCAGAAGATTTCTTTTGGTTAAAAACGTAATGTAATCAACTTGGGCTATCATGATTCTGTTTATTGTCTTTCTGTTTATTTATTAGCTACGCTTGCTTGGAAAAAAAGTATGCGGGAAACCCCCCAACCTGGCAACCCTGCTGTGTAGTGTTGTGACAGGAGCAGTTAAAGGAGCTATACATCAAGAGTTCCGAGCTTCCGGCTCGACTGCAAAGCATTGTGGGTAGTTTTCTCAAAAAGGTGGGCATCAAATCACGCTGCCATATTGGAATACTTGTTGCGAACGTGATCTCTCTCTCTTGTTTCCAGCCCATAGATTGTTTTAATAGCTAAAAAATTCACCAATTTCAGACATTTTGAAGGTAAAGATTTTTTCATTTAACAAAAAAGCAAAGCATTTTTTCTTTTGGTTTTAGATGTAAACACAACCGACTGACGATAGAGCTACATGTAGCTTATGCTACTTACAAGGATAAATAAAATTTCTGATCAGATCATTCAGAGTGGGGACATTATTAAGCACAAACAGTGAGCTGGCAGTATAGAGAGGTGTGCAGTATAGAGAGGTGTGCAGTATAGAGAGGTGTGCAGTATAGAGAGGTGTGCAGTATAGAGAGGTGTGCAGTATAGAGAGGTGTGCAGTATAGAGAGGTGTGCAGTATAGAGAGGTGGGCAAGATGGCGCCGTGCCAGGGCGCCGCTGCAAGAGCTCCGTTGTGCACCGTGATTGTTTTTATCCTTTCACTGTTTTTATCCACACTTGCCACTGTGGCATATGATCGACAGACTCTTATGGACATACGGAACTTGGCTTGTGAGTCAGTGTCGCCTGCTCTGAGGTGTGAGGGCTTCGACGAGTGCCCAACTCGAGGAGAGTGGCGTGCGGACCGCGACAGAGACGGGGAACAGGGCGATGAGGCCGGGCACCTCCCCCGTGTTCACCACCGTGCGGAGCCGGGTGTCTCTCGCCGACGGAGGAAGCGCAGACACCGGGGAAAGCGAGGCGGGCTTCTCGTGCGGAGTCGCACTCCCAGGGTCCCACTGCCACCCATTTACCTTGCAAACGTTCAGTCTCTCCCGAACAAGTCGGATGATCTCCTGAGCCGTATCCAGTACCAGCGCGAGGCTCGGGACTGCGCAGTGTACTGCCTCAGCGAGACATGGCTACATCCGAATATCCCGGACTCAGCTGTTCAGCCGCCGGGATTCGCCATTTTCCGCTCGGACAGAGAGAAGGAGAGCACGGGGAAATCGAAAGGCGGAGGTGTGTGTTTTTTAATTAACCAGCGCTGGTGCACTGACAGTTTTATTATAAACAAAACATGCTCTGCTAACCTGGAGTGTCTGGTTTTGAGATGCCGCCCGTTCTATCTTCCCCGAGAATTCTCAGTGATTTTCTTATGTGCTGTATATATTCATCCTCGGGCTGACTGTACAGCTGCACTGAATGACTTAAGTGACATTTTGCATAAACATGAAGCTGCTCACCCCAATGCTGTGATTATAGTTGGTGGTGATTTTAATAAATGTAACTTAAAGTCTGTATTACCGAACTTTTATCAGCATGTGAGTCAGCCTACCAGGGGAGCTCACATCCTGGATCACTGCTATAGTAACGTGAAGGCAGCTTACAGGTCCAGTCTCAGACCTGCTTTTGGGAAGTCTGATCACTCCGCTGTTCTCCTTCTTCCTTCTTATACACAGAGGAACAAACAGCACAAACCTACTTCCCGCACTGTGCAGTGCTGGTCTGAGGAGGCTAACATGAAGCTGCAGGGCTGCTTTGATGCCACAGACTGGTCTGTTTTTAACTCTGAGAATGTTGATGAATTCTGTGAGGCTGTGACAGGATACATACAATTTTGCATTGACTGTTGTGTCCCCTATAAAGTTATTAAAGAACACTCCGGCCAAAAACCTTGGATGAACACTGACGTCAAATTAAGAATTAATGAGCGGACACTGGCGTTTCAATCCGGTGATGAGGGTGCTTACAAGCTGTCCTGCTACGCTGTGGAACGCTCTATAAAAGCTGCTAAGCGTTCCTATGGGGACAGGTTAGAGGGCTTCTTTGGGGAAGAGGACCCCCGACGCATGTGGAAGGGGATCAGTCTCATCACGTCCTGGAAACCAAGTGCAGGGAAAATTGCTGCTGGCCAAACTTTGCCAAACGAGCTCAACGACTTTTACTGCCGCTTTGAATCTGCTGATCCCCTGCCTTTTGTCTTCCCCGAATGTCAGGGTGCCTTCACAGTGACTCAGGAGGAAGTACGGCGGGTCTTGTCCAGGACCACAGCTCGGAAAGCCGCAGGCCCAGACTGCATTCCTCCCCGCGTCCTGAAACTGTGCTCCGAGCAACTTGCCCCTGTTTTAACGGACATTTTTAACTTGTCACTCAGGAGCTGTACGGTGCCGGTGAGCTTTAAAAGGTCCACCATTATTCCAGTTCCTAAGAAGTCTCCAGTGACATGTCTCAATGATTACCGCCCTGTGGCTCTCACGTCTGTTCTTATGAAGACTTTTGAGCGGCTTGTGCTGGACTTCATTAAGAGCCAGATCCCTGTGAGCGTTGACCCGCTCCAGTTTGCTTACAGACAGAACAGGAGTGTGGAGGATGCCATCTCCTTTGCTCTGAACTCTGTCTACACTCATTTGGACACTAGTAAATCTGTCGCGAGAATGCTGTTCATTGATTATAGCTCTGCTTTTAATTGTCTTGTCCCAAGCATATTGGTTGAAAAACTAATGTCCCTTGGTCTGAATGTTGCCATGTGTAAATGGATTTTTAGCTTTTTAACTGACAGATCTCAGAGTGTAAAAATCAATGACTGTTTTTCTGATGTTGTTTCTGTGAGCACTGGTTCTCCTCAGGGATGTATTTTGAGTCCTCTGCTTTTTACTTTGTACACTCACGATTGTGTGTCCTCCTCTGACTCAAATTTGATCATCAAATATGCTGATGACACCACCATCATCGGTCTCATCAGTGACAATGATGATTCCTCTTATAGAGCAGAGATCGAACAGGTTTTTCAGTGGAGTAAAGTAAACAATCTCCAGCTGAACACTGCAAAAACATGTGAACTTGTCTTTGACTTCAGTCATAGCAGTTCTCACACTCCTGTTGTTATTGACAACTCCCAGGTGCAGATCGTAGAGGAGTGCAAGTTCCTGGGTTTAACTCTGTCTAACCTGAAATGGGTTAAAAACACTGACCGGGTTGTTAAGAAAGCTCGTCAGCGGCTCTTCTTTTTGCGGAAACTTAGATAATTTACCACTAACTCTAAGATTCTGCTTAATTTTTATCGCTGCACCATTGAGAGTTTACTTGTTGGTTCTGTGTCTGTGTGGTTTGGAAACATCACAGATAAAGAAAAGAGAGCTTTAAACAAGGTGCTCTGCTCTGCAAAGAGGACCGTGGGCTGTGAGCTTCCTGTTCTGGAGGTTCTTTACAGATCCAGACTTTTAAACAAAGCTCTTAAAATCATCAATGACTCTTCTGGCCACCCTGGGAAAGCCATGTTCCAGCTTCTTCCCTCTGGCAGAAGATATCGGTCACTGAGATGCAAGACATCTCGCTATGCTAACAGCTTCTTCCCACAGGCTGTTAGGTGCCTAAACAGAGCATTTTAATTTCTGCTTTTACCTGCTTTTAAACTGCTTTTACCCCTTGTATTGTTTTGTTGATCGGTGCCACAGTGTCAGCTGTTTTTTTATTGTTTTATGTTCAGTGTATGTGTGTTTTGTATTGCATTGTGTCGTGCTTTTGTTCTGTCAGTGCACACGGAGTGCCTTTCTTGCGAACGTATTCCAATGTGGTTTTTTAACTGCACATGGCCAAATAAATAAATGAAATGAATGAATCTTGTATAGAGAGGTGTGCAGTATAGAGAGGTGTGCAGTATAGAGAGGTGTGCAGTATAGAGAGGTGTGCAGTACAGAGAGGTGTGCAGTACAGAGAGGTGTGCAGTACAGAGAGGTGTGCAGTATAGAGAGGTGTGCGGTATAGAGAGGTGTGCGGTATAGAGAGGTGTGCAGTACAGAGAGGTGTGCAGTATAGAGAGGTGTGCAGTATAGAGAGGTGTGCAGTACAGAGAGGTGTGCAGTATAGAGAGGTGTGCAGTACAGAGAGGTGTGCAGTACAGAGAGGTGTGCAGTACAGAGAGGTGTGCAGTACAGAGAGGTGTGCAGTATAGAGAGGTGTGCAGTACAGAGAGGTGTGCAGTATAGAGAGGTGTGCAGTATAGAGAGGTGTGCAGTATAGAGAGGTGTGCAGTACAGAGAGGTGTGCAGTACAGAGAGGTGTGCAGTATAGAGAGGTGTGCAGTATAGAGAGGTGTGCAGTACAGAGAGGTGTGCAGTATAGAGAGGTGTGCAGTATAGAGAGGTGTGCAGTATAGAGAGGTGTGCAGTACAGAGAGGTGTGCAGTACAGAGAGGTGTGCAGTACAGAGAGGTGTGCAGTATAGAGAGGTGTGCAGTATAGAGAGGTGTGCGGTATAGAGAGGTGTGCAGTACAGAGAGGTGTGCAGTATAGAGAGGTGTGCAGTATAGAGAGGTGTGCAGTACAGAGAGGTGTGCAGTATAGAGAGGTGTGCAGTATAGAGAGGTGTGCAGTACAGAGAGGTGTGCAGTATAGAGAGGTGTGCAGTACAGAGAGGTGTGCAGTACAGAAAGGTGTGCAGTATAGAGAGGTGTGCAGTACAGAGAGGTGTGCAGTATAGAGAGGTGTGCAGTATAGAGAGGTGTGCAGTATAGAGAGGTGTGCAGTACAGAGAGGTGTGCAGTATAGAGAGGTGTGCAGTACAGAGAGGTGTGCAGTATAGAGAGGTGTGCAGTATAGAGAGGTGTGCAGTATAGAGAGGTGTGCAGTACAGAGAGGTGTGCAGTACAGAGAGGTGTGCAGTATAGAGAGGTGTGCAGTATAGAGAGGTGTGCAGTACAGAGAGGTGTGCAGTACAGAGAGGTGTGCAGTATAGAGAGGTGTGCAGTATAGAGAGGTGTGCAGTACAGAGAGGTGTGCAGTACAGAGAGGTGTGCAGTACAGAGAGGTGTGCAGTATAGAGAGGTGTGCAGTATAGAGAGGTGTGCAGTATAGAGAGGTGTGCAGTATAGAGAGGTGTGCAGTATAGAGAGGTGTGCAGTATAGAGAGGTGTGCAGTACAGAGAGGTGTGCAGTACAGAGAGGTGTGCAGTACAGAGAGGTGTGCAGTATAGAGAGGTGTGCAGTATAGAGAGGTGTGCGGTATAGAGAGGTGTGCAGTACAGAGAGGTGTGCAGTATAGAGAGGTGTGCAGTATAGAGAGGTGTGCAGTACAGAGAGGTGTGCAGTATAGAGAGGTGTGCAGTATAGAGAGGTGTGCAGTACAGAGAGGTGTGCAGTACAGAGAGGTGTGCAGTATAGAGAGGTGTGCACAACAAGTAATCCAATGTGGCAGCGTGATTTGATGCCCACCTTTTTGACACAACTACCCACAATGCCGTGCGGTCGAGCCGGAAGCTCGGAACTCTTAATGCATGTATTGGTAAATAACATAACAACAAAAAAATCTGTTTATGCATTTGCGTGTAGACAGAGATTACCGAAGTTTTGCGTTTTAGCACGTCACAGTATGCCCCAAAACAACAACAAACAAAACGTGTGACCTGTGATCACCAAAACAGGACTAAACCAGGACTAAACCAGGGCTGAGGACGGGGGTCAGTGCTTATAAACATATGTCTTTACCCTGAGTTTCTTCTGTGACTGTAAAAGTGCCGCTACAGAAGCACCAGCGTCTGCATCAAAGCTCCGCCCACTTCTGTGTTTTTCCCCCAACGCAGGACGTCAGACGACGCACATGTTTGGAATGTTATGAATGTGATTATTTCATAAATCATGTGGTTTTGCATGTACATCATCATACATTGTAGATATAAAAAATCCTCAATATATTTGGAAATAAATTTGTTTTGCATGTTTGTAGATACATTTTGACTTGATCCTTTTATAAATAGCCTGAATGCTGAAAAAGTGTGAGCACCCCTGCTTTACACAAACATTTGACTCTTAAAACACACATATAACAACATAGAACGAACCATCAACATCTCGCCTCATATTGCATTAAAAGTGGCATCCGTGTCTTAATTGGTTTGTATTTTAACTTTGTTTTTTATTCACAGACCGCCATGCTTCTCTGGTGGACTGTGGCGGAACTACAAGGGTCTGGCGAGAGTCAGGCTAACGATCGTGCTACTTCTATAAAATCTAACATGCTTAGTAGTTCATACTATCCAAAAAAAGTTCTACCAAATAGTCCATTCTTCAAACTCAACTTTACATCCTTCTTATTGCTTGTCGTTTGGTCTAATGCTTGTTGCAGGTGGTGTCTCCGGTCACGTCCGCGGTCCTGGGTGAGCGGAGCGTCCGAGTGGTGGATGATAAAGTCAGCGTGACGGATCTGGGCGTGCAGCTGGTCTCTGGACTCTCCTTGTCTCTGCAGCTCAGCCCCCAAGGCAACAGGGCTATCGTCGCCACGGCCACCATCCGGGAGGTCATCACACAGCTTAAACAAGTGGGTTTAACAGTATGGGGCCACATAGGCCATTTCCTGATCAGTTTAGTTCACTTTCCCTTTTCTTTTTTGCTTACTATAATTTTGCACTTGTTTAAAAAGTGACATATTGTTCCATCACTGTGGTTTTAAGATCATTTGGATCTATCAATCCACTAATTTGTATTCAAATCAGAATTATTTGTATTTTTAATGTAAGTAACAGGAAGTGACACATAAAGTAAAAAGTAAATGCAAGACATGAATAACAATTAATTGCCTTAACAATGTCTGCTATAGACATGTGCACTAAGTACACACAATATACATAAACAGTGCATTAAATACAGTGCACTCCGTTATTCTCCTGGGGGACTTCAACGCCCATGTGGGAAACGCCAGTGACACTTGGAGAGGGGTGATCGGGAAGAACGGCCCCCCTGATCTAAACCCGAGCGGTGTTCAGTTGTTGGACTTCTGTGCCAGTCACGGTTTGTCCATCACGAACACCATGTTCGAGCACAAGGGTGTCCACCAGTGCACGTGGCACCAGGACACCCTAGGCCGGAGGTCGATGATCGACTTTGTTGTCGTATCATCTGACCTTCGACCGCGTGTCTCGGACACTCGGGTAAAGAGAGGGGCGGAGCTGTCAACCAATCATCACCTGGTCGTGAGTTGGATCCGCTGGCAGGGGAAGAAGCCGATCAGACCTGGCAGACCCAAGCGTATAGTGAGGGTCTGCTGGGAACGTCTCGCTGAGCCCCCTGTCAGACGGACTTTCAACTCACACCTCCGGGAGAGTTTCTCCCAGGTCCCGGCGGAGGAGGGGGACATGGAGTCCGAGTGGACCATGTTCTCTGCCTCAATCGCCAATGCGGCGGCTCGTAGCTGTGGTCGCAAGGTCTCTGGTGCTGGTCCCGGCGGCAACCCCCAAACCCGGTGGTGGACACCGGCAGTAAGGGATGCTGTCAGGCTGAAGAAGGAGTCCTATCGAGCCATGATGGTTCGGGGGACTCCTGAGGCAGCTGTCCAGTACCGGCAGGCCAAGCGTGCCGCGGCCCGGGTTGTTGCAGAGGCAAAAACCCGGGACTGGGAGGAGTTCGGAGAGTCCATGGAGCATGACTATCGGTCGGCCTCGAAGAGATTCTGGCAAACCATCCGGCGCCTCAGGAGGGGGAAGCAGTTCTTTGCCAACACCATGTACCATGGGTGGAGAGCTGCTGACCTCGACTGGGGATATTGTCGGGCGGTGGAAGAAATACTTTGAGGTTCTCCTCAATCCCCCCGTCACGTCCTCTGTTACAGAGGCAGAGGCTGAGGATGTTGGGGCAGGTACATCCATCTCCCTGGCTGAGGTCACCAAGGTGGTTGGTAGCCTCCATGGTGGCAAGGCTCCGGGTGTGGATGAGATCCGCCCTGATTATCTAAAGTCTCTGGATGTTGTAGGACTGTCTTGGCTGACACGTCTCTGCAACATCGCGTGTCGATCGGGGGCAGTGCCAATGGAGTGGCAGACCGGGGTGGTGGTCCCTCTCTACAAGAAGGGGGGCCGGAGGGTGTGTTCCAATTATCGTGGGATCACACTCCTCAGCCTCCTCGGTAAGGTCTACTCCAAGGTACGGGAGAGGAGGTTACGGCCGATGGTCGAATCTCGGATCCAGGAGGAGCAGTGTGGTTTTCGTCCCGGTCGCGGAACACTGGACCAGCTCTATACTCTCCATCGGATACTCGAGGGTTCATGGGAGTTCGCCCAACCTGTCCACATGTGCTTTGTGGATTTGGAGAAGGCGTTCGACTGTGTTCCCCGGGGTGTCCGTTGGGGGGTTCTCCGGGAGTACGGGGTCGGAGGTCCTCTGCTGAGGGCCATCCGATCCCTGTATGACCAGAGCCAGAGCTGTGTTCGCATTGCCGGCAGTAAGTCAGACCTGTTCCCGGTGAATGTTGGCCTCCGACAGGGCTGCCCTTTGTCACCGGTTCTGTTCACTGTATTTATGGACAGAATATCTAGGTGCAGCCAGGGGTCGGAGGGGGTCCGGTTCGGAGACCACAGGATTTCATCTCTGCTGTTTGCGGACGATGTTGTCCTGTTGGCTCCAACGAACCAGGACCTGCAGCATGCACTGGGACGGTTTGCAGCCGAGTGTGAAGCGGCTGGGATGAGAATCAGCACCTCCAAATCCGAGGCCATGGTGCTCGACCGGAAAAAGGTGCCTTGCCCTCTGCAGGTGGGTGGAGAGGTCCTTCCTCAAGTGGAGGAGTTCAAGTATCTCGGGGTCTTGGTCACGAGTGAGGGAAGAATGGAGCGTGAGATTGACAGGCGGATTGGTGCAGCGTGCGCAGTTATGCGGTCGCTGTATCGGACCGTTGTGGTAAAGAGGGAGCTGAGCCGAAAGGCAAAGCTCTCGATTTACAGGTCAATCTTCGTTCCCTCCCTCACCTATGGTCATGAGCTTTGGGTAATGACCGAAAGAACGAGATCGCGGATACAAGCGGTCGAAATGAGCTTCCCCCGCAGAGTGGCTGGGCGCTCCCTTAGAGATAGGGTGAGGAGCTCAGTCACACGGGAGGAGCTCGGAGTAGAACCGCTGCTTCTCCACGTCGAGAGGAACCAGTTGAGGTGGCTCGGGCATCTGTTCCGGATGCCTCCTGGACGCCTCCCTGGGGAGGTGTTCTGGGCACGTCCCACCGGGAGGAGGCCCCGCGGAAGACCCAGGACACGCTGGAGGGACTATGTCTCTCAGCTGGCCTGGGAACGCCTTGGGGTCCCCCCGGACGAGCTGGAGGAAGTGTGTGTGGATAGGGAAGTCTGGGCGTCTCTGCTTAGACTGCTGCCCCCGCAACCCGGCAACGGATAAAGCGGAAGAAAAGGGATGGATGGAGTGCATTAAAGTGACAGTAGTAAAAGGTGACAAAGGGCAGGGGTCAGTTATGAAGTGTTTAAATCTGACCGCAGAGGCTCTGGTCCGGATTGGCTTTAGCCTTCTGCCTGAGAGGAGTGGTTTGAGAAGTTTGGCTGTGGTCGACCTGGAGTCCACAATCATCCCCATTGTGTTCTTGGCGTACAGCTCCAGGTTTTTACCACTGTACCAGGACACCAGCCGGTCCACCTCCCTTCTGTAAGCAGACTCATCAGTGTCAGAGATGAGTCCAATAACTTGACCACAAACTTGACGGGCTACAGAGATGTGGCTGGAGGTGCAGTGGTTGGTGGTCTGCAGGGGACACGGCGCGTTTAGATCCACTGAGTAAAGTGTAGCAGTGATGGAGTGTGTTCTGCTCTCTGGTCGGGCATATGATGAACTGTCTGTATTTTTCTGTATCTGCCTCAAGTTTTCTGAGTTATAATCCCCAAAGAAAACACAGGTTGCGCAAAGATTCGGCTGTGCCACTGTTATCAAAGCAGCTTAACAGGCGCTGGACGTGGGACGCTCCGGGGTCAGACCGCTGCGGCACCGGAGCATGTGGAATCCCGTTTGAGGTCGTACAGCAAAAAACAAGTTCCCCACAGTCACGCGTGCTCCCCCAAAATAGTGAGGGGGCGCCCCGAGGGAAGGACTGCTCCTACCTCCCACAGACAGTAACTCAGACAACAAGAGCGCAACTGCCAACTACTGTAGTGGATGTGCAATTACACTTTATTCAAGTACGGCAAAAAAAAGCATGTAGCCCAGGTTCCCACGCGCCCCTCCGGCATCGGCCCCACCATTTGAGAAGCACTGCACTAATCCGACATATTATTCTTGTGTCTGAAAGTCTTTTCCACTGGAAAAAAATCATGCATGTATTTTTGAATATTCTCATCACCACTGTTACCATAGTTACCAGGAACACCTTTCCACGCCCTTTACCGTAGTTTCAAATATAGGCGATATGTTGCGGTATCGTTAAATTAAAAGATTGAAGCTTTATACACGTCAACTCAACAGATTAGGGACGATTCGTACAATAGTCTGTAATTAGTTTGCTTTATTTTGTGTTACTTTTGGCCTAAACATTTTATTTATGTATCACAATTTAAACATGAATAGTTCATAGTACATACAAAATGTACTGTACAGCATGTGATAAAACGTTTTTCGGATGGATTTAAATGAACAGTAGATACTAGATAAAAGTATGAATAATAGACATTGTGTATTTTTAAAATGCACTTTCATTTTCAATCACACCCGCTCCTATTTTTCCAATGCACTTTTGTAGCATGACTAAAAAGCACTCACAAAAAAAATCAATGACAGAGAATTCACCAATTGTCAGGGACAGGGCTCAAATGAAGAACATATTCCAGTCAATTTGTCTGCACTTCTGTTCAGTTGTTTTCTCTCTTGTGTTATATTTTATAATATTCACACAATGGCAGCTCACAATAATCTACAATAGTTTGTTTCAAATTGTGAAGTAACGGTACGAAAAGTGTAATTTTCCCTGTATATATTTGTGAAGTACTTTTCTCCACATCTATTCAGGGCTGTGTTCTCTATCTTTACACTGCACACTGTACACGGCTATATTTAATAATTCATATACAGAGTTTACACTAACTTTTGTTTGTGCCCACAAGCAAGTTTCTCTGTCTAATTCACACATGCAAATATTTAATATTTAAATATCTCCAGTAGGTTAGACTACTGCAATGGAGTGAACGCAGGCGCGATTTTGGCTGCCGCTACTCCCTGTGATTTTAAGTAATTACGTTGCTTTAGACCTTCCAGTTGTGGTCTATTGGGTGGAGAATCAATCCGTCTAAACATATCACTTTTTAAATACCAACAATTTTTAGTGTTACTGTGCTTTGGAGCTGCGGCTAGCTTACCTGCTACCTGTTGCTACATTCCTGCTGCAGAAGTCCAGCCCAGCTATGTGGATCAGTTGTGTGTGGCTTGCTTTTTGCTGGTTCGCCCTGTCCGTAATCCGTCATCCATCGACAGCACTTTTCCAGTATGCAGCCACCGAGTTTAAACTCTATTTTAATCCACACAATCCACCAGCGCCTGCTCTGCTACAACACCCGGACATCC